ATTGCAAGCATTCACAAGCCCATAATCATCTTGTAGGCTTCACACAGTTTACATTTTTTTTCAAAATCGAATATGATAATTCTTGCATCCTAAGCATGTTCTAATGATATATTTGTGATTGTCAACATATTTGCAACATGCCTGAATGATTTAACTGATGTTTTGATGCACATATTGATGTTTGCCATGGTTAGGGTTTAAAAAGCCGTTTTATGGTTTCTCTGTACAGGTGAAGCAAGACTAAGAAAATGATGTCATGGTACTCGTGAGATCAAGACGAGTTGATTGGTACAGTTAGAATTAATTTATCATGCGTCATATGCATTTTGAAGCTTGTAGGTTTATAGCTATGGAGTTTTGTCCGTAGGTATAAGTTGGGTACCTAAGACAATGGACAGGGAAGAAGATGATGACTTGTCACCATCCCACTGGGCCATTTGAATTACACGCGTTTTCTTCAGTTACTCATCCTATTTTGCATATTATGATTTAATATTATTATTATTACAACTAAGCAACGTAACACAGATGGCGAGGGCAAGCGTGGAAAGAGTAGGAGGACCTGGGTTCGATCCCAAGTACCAGCATTTTCTTTATTTTCTTAACATATAATTGCAGATTCCATGCGTTCCAAAGCCATATGTCTATCATGCACCCCACTGATCCAGCCACTGGATCGTTGCCAGTATAGATCCAACGTTCGTGTCAAGGAGGGACCATGATGCACTCTCCAGGCGCAGCAACACAGAATCATGTGCAGGATTGGGATCAACCATAATGGGCCTGGATAAAAATCAGAAACACCCCCCCCCCCCCCTTGGGTTGCTTATGCAGGCCCAATCTCACTCTTTTTTATTTTTAATTCTTTTCTTATTACTTTTTAATTATGTCTTTTTGGAAAATAACATAAAAAATCATATATTTTTATTTATTTAATAAAAAAAATCATAAAAAACATCAAAAACCATTTTTCATAAAAAATATCTTATTAATTAATTAGTTTAATTAACTTTAGGCAATTTAATTCTCTTTTTATTATAATTTAAAATAATTAGAATTAGGGTTTAATTTTGTACATAACCTAGTTTTTTCTTAAAAATAACATAAATATTTTCTCAAATTAGATTTTTAGGTTTTCCAATTATTTCTCGCATTCAATTCACTGCGCGCGCTTTTAATTTTCCTTTTATTATTATTGTAACTGCTCCGAGTTCGTAATAGATTTAAGTAGGTTTTTAACTCCGCATTTTATTTTCAGTCAAAAATAATTATGTATCTCCCCAAAGCCTTGTAATAACTAGGACTCTAACTTCTCGCATTTTAATTTCCGCAAACTATAAACTGCTTAGATGTATGTATAGGATTGTATGGAAAGACGAATTGAAATTAAAATAGTAGAAAACCCTAATTATGCAAAGATAATAAACTGAAAAAATACACTTGCACATTCTCACTACTAGGGTTTACTCCACTCTAGTTGCCTTCGGTGAACGGTCACGAAGTATAAGGAATGTTAGTGGTCGTCCTCTAGTCCCAGAAGATCTAAAATGACCCTTTTGGATGTTGCCTCGGAAAAAGATCTTTAAGGATTTAGGATGATTACTAAAATTTCCTAACATTGCTTTTGTGATCGTATTTGTCCCTTCGAACGTCCCTTTAAAACTCCAATGACGGTGCTATCTATTCCTTAATAATAGGATAGCTCAGTCTAAAGGAAAACGAACATAATTTTTTCAAGTAGGTAGATTAGATCCTAGATACTTGCTCAAATAAAATTTTTCGCACAAACACTTTTTAAAACAATTTTCAAAACAACTTCATCACACTCTTGAGGACTAATACAAGGTTTATCACGAAGTAAAACTTTTCCAAAATAAGCACGCACAAGCAATTTTAAAAATGATCAAAGTACCTAAGAGCCCATGGAAAACCATGGATAGAAAGGGTTCTAACACCTTCCTTTTCTATAATCTACCCCCCGTACTCAGAAACATCTCGAAAAAGGTTTTTTCTGTTCTTTTTCCTTTTCCTATGTTGGATGAAATAAAAGTCGGTGGCGACTCTTGCTTACCGCGAAATTTGCGAATACAAAATGCAAACCAGTATTAACAGTCGGTTCTGCCACCGTATCACAATGTTCATGCCAAGTTTCAAATCTCGCATTCCATGTTTGCTCAGTTAATGGTTCAGATGACTGAAAATGACTCCATATTGACCCAAAAGTCGACCTTTTGCGAGACCAAGTTTAAACGATTGTAACTTTTTCATTAATTGATATTTTTGAGAGTTTCTTTTTGCGTACGACTCTCCTTGACGTCATCTCCAATTTCTCTTCAAAGATCAAGAGCTGATTACGCACAGAAGATCACCAAAATTCGAGTACTTTAGAGGTTGCTTCATGGACTTTGACCTAATCTTAAGTAATTGTCGCTTGACTTCTAAGAATTGTGATTTCCTCAAATTCCAAGATCTTGAGATGATTATTTCTGCATATTGTCATAAGTGATGTCGATTACGAGTTTATCTTTAAAGATTAAAGGAAAATTATGGTCGGAAGACTTTGAAAGTTATCGAATCATCACAGGTCATTTGCTTGATTTCGAATGTTCTTAACTCTTAATTTCAATTCATACCACAATTGTTTTCTCAGGACTATGATTCTCATGTTGAACTTGTTAATTTTATAAGATTGATGAATAATCTTAATGCATATGTTTTGTCATCAAGAGATTGAATTCAACTTTGGCAATGAAGTTCAATTTGAATCGAGCATGGCATGAGAATTTCATTTTGATTGCAAGTTTCATGGAATCAAGAGGGTATACAATGTTCAAAACATATCCAATATTATCAAACAAACTATACTCAATACATGTCCGAAATCGCATTTATTCACTTATGTGTCAATCTCCTTCAAGCTTTTGAGACCAATGAGTTTACACAAGGAAATTTATAGTTTCTATCTTCCAAATCGTTCAAAGTTGTTACATCACTACAAGTTCCATCAATTTATGTTACAAAGGAATAATTTCAAGATACATTTCAAAGTGGGTTACAATTTAAGATAAAAACTACAAGTGTTTTGTTTACAAAAAAAAAAAGAAAAAAAGAAATATTGCTTCTTCGAGTCTTCTTTTCTTCATCTTCAAGCAACGCATCCACTCCTTGCTAGCCATGGTCTTCTATTCATCTTTTAACCTCTCCTCGCTTGCCATCCACTTCTAGTGTTCATGAAACAAGAAAAGGAAAAAATTAGCAAACAATCAACATGTAATAAAATTCAAGCAAGGATTATTTGTTAAATAAGAAAGCTCATCATTAGGATTTGCATTTGGAATCAGAACTAAAAGGGTTTTTGTTTTAAATCATAGGCTGTCTTCTCCTGTTTTTGCAGATCACAAAAAGTTTGTTCTTTTTGGTTCACAAAAAAAAAGAAGTTTACAAATATTTTCCTACTGCAAAAGCAAGTCAAAATTGTCAAATATGATAGCTGAAAAGCAGCAAAACAACATGGCAACTAGGCAAACAAGGTAACTGCAACAGAACAAGGAAGCAGGCTGCCTTAACAAAATAGCACAACAAGCAGGTTGCAAAAGAGCAACACATAACAACAAGTTGCAACAAGACAACAACAAAAACCAGTAAACGGCCCAAATGCAGCACAAATAAAGGAAAACAACAGCCTAAACAAAAGAAAAATAGCAGCCTGAACAAAAAGCAAAAAAACAGCAGAAGCCAAGTAGCCAATAATAGAAAAGGGCAGTATATGACAGCAAAGCAAAAACCAAGCACAGCAGCAACAATTCAAAAATGGCAAGCTATCAAATAGCTTCAAGCCCTGCATCATCATTTTCCAAATGGGAAATCCTTCAGATTATGTAAAAAAGCACATTTGTTTTACATCATAGAAAGATGAAGAGGGAAAGAGAAAGAAACAGAAGGATATCACCTAGCATAAAGCAACCCAAAACATGCAAAGAAAAAAAAACAACCTGCAATGCTCCACATACTGTCAAACCTGCTATTGCCCTGTCCAAACAGCCCAAGGTTTACACACAAGTAGAAATATGAAAACTGCACTCAAAAGGAAATAAAACAGTTAACTAAAATTGTTCAAACCTCTCATATTTCCCCCTATTTTTTCATTCTATTTCAATATAAAGGAAAGAGATATCATAATAGTGGGAGGAGGTTCTTCTTTCATCAGCGAGACACAAATAAAATACACTCCATAATCCTTCATTATACAACCATCCTCAACAACCTTGCATCACTCATCTTCTACCTCACAACATAAACTTATACGAACCAACTTCAACTTGCATCCAGAACCAAGCCACAAACATAGACAGTCAGAAGGAGAAAAGATTCAGGAGTTCAGAAAAATCAAAGAGGAATCATCATACCTATGCTTGAAGAAATCATTGGAGGAAATCCAATCTGGAACCTTTCTGAACTAATTCCAGCTATATTTTTTCTCTTCAATCTATCTACATTTTCATGCCAATATATTGTTGCCTTATTAATCTGTTTGCACTTTTGTTGCTTTCCATGCTGAGATGTTTTTTATACTAAGAGATTGATATCACTGGGAATAGAGATACCTGAATCAGTGAGCAGTTTCTATCGTTAGAACCATGAGATAAAAGCTAAGAGCGTAAGAATCTGATAGGGATAGAAAAAAACTCTTACTTTGATGCAGAGAGAATCCGAGAGTCCTCACTCTCTCATTTTTCTTTGTTCTGCAAAACTCTCCCTACTCTAGGAAAAGACCACGTGACCACTGTGAATCAATGGTGGCTCTTTATCCACCTATCACCACCTAATCACAAGTTTTCCCCAAAGCTTCAACAATACCTGTAGAATACAGAATCAACATTCATAACCATCATAAAACCTTAACAACATTACACAATGAAAAATCGTAAGTAGGAGGGTAAAAAAAATAGAATAAACATAAAAAGAAAAAACCACCTTCATCCATTCAACCTAAAACTCCAATGGCCGCCGTAGCACCGCCACTGCCATCGACTGAACCTCCCCACAACGAAGCCAAAAACCGCCCGACCACGACACCCAGTATTCACATGCATCCTCTTAGCCAACCCTTTCGATGTTCCTTATATCCACAAGCTAATGCGTCAAATGGCCATTTTTAAACGCCTGACATACCTCGTCACTGCCAGAGAGTCTTCCTACTCCTCCACCCTCTTCTATCGCCCCAATAAACCTTTCCACTCTTTCAACGTCTTAATCCTTGAAGTCTCTCAAAACCCTTTCACCGATACCCAATTCAACAAAGACCCTTGTTATAAACCCTCAACCAAAGTCGTGAACTTGGACCTCCCAATCGATGACCCGGAGAAAGAAAGTTTCAGAACTTGGCATGGAAACAAAGTTTTCGTTACTGGGTTTATGTTGTTTTTCCCAAACCATTTAACTTTTTTGGGGAAGCCTGGGTTCTATATCGAGGATCTATTTGTGAACGAGAGTTATAGAAGAAAAGGGTTTGGGACTTTGGCGAAATAGGTTGTGAAGATGGGGTATGGAAGGGTGGAATAGGCATGCTTAGCTTGCTGTTGACAATGAATACAAAAAAAAAGAGGAAGATGATGGTAATCTGTGAGAGAGAGAGAGAATCGTTTTGTTTATTATTTCAATTATCCCTGATAATCATTTTTATTGGTAATGATAACAATTAAATCCAATTTCTTTTCTCAAAAAAATGTCAGCGGCGTGCCTAAAAAATGTTTAGGGTTACAAGCAAAATCGTTCTTTTCCTCTTCCATCCGGATCAGCCCATTGGGCTGTTGGCCCAAGTCAGCTAACATTTTCCCTTTTCACCTATTAAAATCATAACAATAACAAATGAACATAACAGCTCAGTTGGCAAGGCATTGTTTACAGCGCCAAGAGAATCCGGGTTCAACCCCTGTTGGGGCCTTTTCTTCTATTTGGTTTCTATTTGCTTCATTCTATTTTTGTTAAACAAAAAAAACATGATTGGGCTTTACAATTCCCTTCTAGCCCATCTGGATTTTTACCTCACACCCCCATATTCAGTTTAACACCACCCTTCTACTTTGTTTTGTTAGTTTAACTTTATTTGTTTTAATTTAATAACTCATGAAATTTTGTTAGATAATTTTTGTAGCTTAGTTCTAAATTTAATTTAGGAAAATTTGTGAATAATTTTATTACCTAACATTTTATCATTTAGTTAACATTTTATTAATTTATTTAGTTTCTACATAATAAAAATACTAAAAGCTAAAAAAAATATACATTTAATTTAATTTCCATAGATAATTATTTTCATTAGTAGAATAGAATTTTATTTTTCTTTCCAAACTTTTCAAACAAAATACCAAGAATTTTATTTCCATATTTTTACTTTGTTAATTGATTTTTACTTCATATATTTGTTGTAGTTTCAATTAATTTCTTGATTCGATTTTGTTGTATTGATTGCCTATTTGGACTTTTAATCGCATTGATCCATCCCCATTTGTGAATTTGTATCCCCATTCCCGAAAGCTCTGTAATAGCGTAGAATTTTAATTTCCGCAATTTACTGTTTTCCTTATACTGTATAATAAATAGGTGTGCATGGCAAGATTTAAAATCAATCGCTAGATAACCCTAATCAAAGAATAACTTAACTTGAATCAAACACACTTTCACACGCGCACCTCTAGGGTAACCTCGCTTGTTGCCTCGGAAACACAATCATGTCCCTCGAATATGGGAGACTTTAGCAAAGACCCTTATATAAAAAAAAGATCGTAGTCCCTCGATGTTTCCTTCAATAAAACGATCTAGTCCCTTACGAAAAATTGCTAAAGCGTCTCATAAGTTGCCTTCTATGACTGTACGATTGACCCGCGCCTGTCCCTTCACATCCAACGATGGGGCTTCTTACCAAAACAATGGTAAGGTAGCAACATCTAAAGGAGGAGGAAAATAACATTTACGACCTTTTGAGTAGGTAGATTCGCTCCTAGTTTCCTGCTTGCTCACAACAAAAACATTTTATATACCAACACTCTCATTTTGAAACATTTTCAAAAGACAACACTTTGTACGCGTTCTTATAGAAACGAGAGTCATTATAAAGACACCTTTTTAAAATCACTTTCAAAAACACATTCCATAAACACCTCTTTGAATAATTTTGGAAATAACACTTTGTACGCGTTCTTATAGAAACGGGAACAATTACAAAGACATTTTCAAAATGCTTTCAAAACCCACATCACAAGTACACTTTCAAACAAAAGAAAGTGATCTAGAAAGAAACTAAGAGCCTGTAGATAACTACAGATGGAAAGGGTGCTAATACCTTCCCTTTTCATAATCTACCCCTCGAACTCAAGAAAACATCTCTAAAGGTCTTTCCTGTTCTTTTCAGCCTTTCCTTTTGGATAAAAGAAAAGTCAGTGGCGACGCTTGCTATCCGTAACATTGCGATCAAACACAAAATACCCAAGTCATTTCTCCCACCTCGTTACACATATGCTTCCACCTCCAATCCCGTAAAGAAACCTTTTATCGGGAGGAAAGAAACGAATGCGGTGTATGGGGCAAGGGCCCATACCAAGAAGGATGAGCGCCAATCCGTTAATGCTGTCGGGATTTCCAATCCAACTCCTGTGCAAAGATAATCTTCCAATCATCAATGATTTCAGGCTCCACCAAGACAATTCACAAGGATAGGCATGTCACTATCCCAAGCCTTATAACACCTGTTAAAGGCTAATTTGGTGACACTGCACGATCCTCCGACCAATATAGATATAACTTCACCTAATACTATCTGAATACCAAGTGTGCATATCACTCGAATAGTCCCAAGCATGAGACTGACCAATGTTGGGCACTGAAGAATAAAATTCAAGAATTAATAGAAAATAAGACCATTGAATTTGATCCTCCTCCAACTCCGAATGTAATCACCACGCCTATGCCAAACCATGGCAAGGGGGTCAATGCTGTTGAAGACACCATTTTTGTTTCCTCCGTCGAAGACTTGAATACTACGTTAACCATTATCAAAAAGAATTTGTTGAAAGCCGGGATTTTCCCTGGCTGTTTGAAGGACTTTGATTGTTGCACCAAACAAATTATCGGATGCAAATGGCTGAAAGAAGGCGTTCAATGCCTGATGAATAGTCATGAGATCCTATTTGAGAAAACTTTGTCCGTCAAAATTTTGACCAAAAAGATTGAAGAACTCTCCATCATAACAATTTTAAACAAGCCTCTTACGATCTCCTCAAAGGGTCCTATCAGGATTTCGAATGAACAAACTGTTACTCCTCTGATAATTACTACCCCTGGGACAATTCCGTACTTTTCCAACAAAGCAATGTCGTGGCATACGGTGCCGAAGTGTTTTACCATGGAATACATAAAGATGATTGGATTGAAGAAAGCAAGGGTGATGACATTAGTAACATTACTGACTCTAGTAAGGTGACCAGAACTGAGAGAATCTCTTCACGTAACATCTCACCACCAACTATTACAAAGGCGCTTGTCCGCATCACCATTGCTAAGCCTAATGCTGATACAAGGGGAAAATAGAAAGTAGTTGAGCCTGCTGAAACAAAAATACCTGCAAAAGACATTATTGTTGAGGAACCTTCCGCTCGAGAACTGGATGAGATCTTGAAAATTATAAAAAGGAGTGATTTCAAGATTGTGGTGCAGTTGGGGAAAACCCCTTCCAAGATTTCTATGTTATCTTTGCTACTTTGTTTCGATGCTCATGCTCGAGAGTTAATCAAATTATTGAAGAAGGCTCATGTCCCTCATAATAAAACTCTGCATGTTTCTGTTAAATGTAAGGGGACTACCCTAGCACATGTTCTGGTTGACACTGGCTCTTATTTAAACGTGCTACATAAGGGGGCTTTGGACCTTTTAGACTGTGAAGGATTAGTCTTGAAACCAAGTGATATTATTGTGAGGGCTTTCGATGGGTCCAAAAGGACAGTTCATGGAGAGGTGGATCTCCCGATCAAGGTGGGTTCATATATTTTCAACACTACTTTCTACATCATGGATATCCGTCCTGCTTACTACTGTTTGTTGGGTCGCCCTTGGATCCACGGAGCAGGGGTAGTAACGTCAACCGTTCATAAAAAGCTCAAGTATCCGGTCAAAGGAAGAATTGTCACTGTCTGTGGTGAGGAGGAATTCATGGTAAGCCACCTCAACTCCTTCAAATATGTGGATGGAGAATTTATAGAGACCCCATGTCAGGCTTTTGAAGTTGTGCCACCAATGGTTACTACTGCCAAATTTTCCTCTGATGTGTCCAAAGCTGTTAAGGTTGTGCCAAAGATGGTTTCGTTTAGAGATGCTCGTGCCGCAGTTGAAGAAGGAAATTGTGATACTTGGGGGCAACTCCACGAGATCCCATTCAAAGCTGACAAATGTGTTTTGGGTTTCACTATCAAGGCTCAGAAAGAAGTGAGGCGCACTCGTGCAGGAAAGCCCCCTCTCTGTATTGGAAGCCACGAAGTCAACGCTGTGGAGGATTCATATGATGAGTGTGCATTTGAAGCATGGGTATATCCTACTGCAATAAAGCTCAACAATTGGCACGCAAAGGAATTTGTTCCCATCTCCTTCATTGAGGAGTAATTACTTGTTTATTGCTTTCTATTAATTCAAAAACATTTTATATATAATATTAAACAATGACCTTTAAGCCATGTGCCTGGCCTGGGGCACTATGGTCCATTTCTCAAGGGTTTTATTTATGTTCATTTTATCATATGATCATTCAATAAAAATCATTGGACTTTTGCATTCAAATATTTGTGCTCATTATCTTTCTTTTTCTTCAAATACATTTTCAAAATAGCCATGTGACTTACACACACACACACACACACACACACACACACACACACACACACACACACACACACACACACATACACACACACACACACACACACACACACACACACACACACACACACACACACACACACACACGCGCACTCTCTCTCTTGCAGGTCCTCATCCACTATGGATCTCATTTCCAATGACTCTACTATTGCTGACTATGATTTCGAATATCCAATTAACCAAGCCGAAGACAAAGGCAAGGAAGATTGTGAAATACCGGGAGAACTAGCCAGACTTCTATTACAAGAGGAAAAAGCTATTCATCCGCACGAAGAGTCAGTTGAAGTCATCAATCTAGGTACCGAGACAGACAAGAAAGAGGTCAAGATCGACGTTAACCTGGAAAGAAGTGTCAAAAGCAGATTGGTTCAGATGTTGCATGACTATGTGGAAGTGTTTTCTTGGTCCTATGAAGATATGCAAGGTGTTATACCCCAATTTCCCCCCTAAGATCCCTTCATCATACCATATTGATTCAATCTTAACAAGATCACATTAGGGCTTTTGGTTCTCCTCCCCATCTTCAGCTTTGCTCTTTGAGGAATCACCAAGCACCTTGACTTGTTTTTCTTTTGTAATCGTTCATGTTTTGTTTTTGATTTTCC